TTAATTAGTTACACTTTGTGAAAAGGGCTGAAATACGGGCAGAGTCATAATAAAAGTTGGCAGTAATTTTTATTGCAAAGATCTTTATCTTTTTGTTTGTGCTTTCATTATTTTTATTCTTTGCAGTCTCTTTTCTCTGCGTTTTGTTTCTGTTATTTTCTTCTGTTCCTCTCCTCGTGTTTGCAGACCTGTTGTAATCCATTTTTCCTTTTTTTTCAGGGTCCTAACTTTGAATTTTCTACTGAAACTCATGAAGAACTGCTCTACAACAAGGAAAAACTCCTCAACAATGGAGACAAGTGGGAAGCAGAGATTGCTGCCAACATACAAGCTGATTACCTATATCGATAGACGTCACACACAGACATGCAGGTGTACAAATGTACAGTATACACGAACCATCTTTTGCGCCCCACACACATTTTGACTCAAACGCAGAGGAAATGGATGGTCAGTTTAGATTTCGTTTTGTTGTCCATTCTTATTTTAAACATAACATAAATATCCTCAGTATCATATTATTCGATATTTATTGTAGAACGATCAATACCTCACTGACTATTTGTGTAAGGAGTCTAAAGCTGTCACAGCCTGGTCTAGTATATTATCGTTCAATGAAGACTATACTTTGTGTGAAAATTGAATTTAATAACATGTAGACTGAGTCAAGCTATGACAGTGTGAGCATGTACCCCGAGGGTAGACTGCAATCTGGATTTCATCTTCACTGTCAGTGTAAGGGTGTATGGATTATCATCTAGTGAGTTGTATGTTCATCATGCTGCTTCCACTTTCAAGCAAATAAAGAACCTTCTGGGAGAAAGTTGTTTCAAGTGCGGAAAAACGATGTACAGAAAATGTTTCAATGCAATTTTTATTTATATAATGCCAAATACAACAACAGCCACCTCAAGGTGCTTTATATTGCAAGGTAAAGACCCTACAATATTGCAGAGAAAACCCCAGCAATCAGACGACCTCCAAGCAAGCACTTGGTGACTAGCTTTATGTTAAAAGCTTCCTTTTAGGCTACGTTCACACTGCAGGCGAAAGCGCATCAAATCCGATTTTTTTGACCCTATGCGACCCATATCCGATCATGGTATGACAGTGTGAACGGCCAAATCCGATATTTTCAAATCCGATCTGGGTCACTTTCTTTCTTTTTTTTTATTTTATTTTCTTTTCTTTTATTTTTTTTTGCCTGTCCCGTTTGGCTCTTTTGCCATCAGAATTATTGTCTAAAGGCGAAGAAAGATGCCCAACGGATTTACTTTACCAAATTGACCATCCC